ATATGCTACCAATCAGCAGTTTCACGCCATCATTGCCTACTGGCTACCGGCTAGTGTACTCAGCAACCACCGAGCTACAATCCGCCATGTAGGCCAGATAACTGCCGCACAAAACAAAACGCAAGTTCTCGGCTTAACCTGCGCAGCACTAACAGCATGAAGCACGCGCGCCAATGCCCCACATAACGCACGCCCTAGACAGTTCGACAAACGCTAGGCTGCACATAAGCATACGGCAACACGCCATTGCGACGATCGCCCTCGCAGCCGCCACGCTCCACTGCGTCGTCGGTCCACCGGTACAGTGTAGCTGCGGCGCTTTGCCTTGAACCCATAGACCTCAAACCACTCGATGCAGTCACGACGACTGCAAACAAAACACCCCCATACGAGTTGTAGCTGATGCCCACCCGACTCACGCAGCTGCATCGACCCACAAGGCCGCCAACTGACCAGCAGATACAGTTGTGTTCCGTACGAGCCGACACCATTGCTGCGCGTGCGGTCTCACACGCCGCCGTGCACTGACGCATACGCCATGCGCATGATGCTCATTAACTACGCCAGTCAGACAGTTACTTGCAACACACCGGCTGCATGGGGAGACACAGTGAACTCGAAGGAACCCGGTGATCCATATTTAGATAACGACGAACCTAGGACTTCTCAGCACGAGGAGCTTCTGCGTTGGAGCCGCCAGCAGTTCGCTGGACATTCCAGCTGCGGGCAGGAGCGTTCCTGGCAAGGCGTGCCTGATGCTACACACAGGTTCATCAACGCTCCAGCAGCTACAATTATACTGATAGGAGTTGGCAACATTGCTGTCGGTCTCGCTTCACACAGAGCCCTGCGCAGCCCTACCTAGGCCGCGCACATGATGTAAGGAAGATCCTGCAGTCAAAGCTATTCCCAACGCACGCGCTGCATGCTCAAACGCAGTAAAGCCCAAGGGTGCAACTGATCAACATACAAAGCAAAGAGGATGCAGCTCGCCACTCAGCATTGGCGCCGTCAGGACGTCGCCGTACTTGCCAGTCGTGCACGCGCGCGTACACCCAATCAAGGCCTCCTTCCAGTTGGGAATCCCAAGGGAATCGCCATCACTTGATGCCGCACCGGCACTCAATGCGGGTGGGGGGCAAATCCTCAGCAAATTGCTGCTGTACAGCAAAGCTTTGCAAGCGACTCTACATCGCCAGCGTCCAACGAAATGCTTGATTCTACCAGTTCTTCCGCACATTCGCAAACCAGGAACAACACTGCCACGAACACGCAAAAACTAGACGCGCACACACACACCACAGTGCTAAGTTCCTGCAGTACTTCAGTCACCACCTTGCTGACTGACAACTTCCAACACACCGGCGGGGAGATGGCCAGCTCGCGCCACTACCTCTTATGTCAGAGTCCAATAAATATCTCACTGGCTTCCTTGCCCTTCTCACTCGAATGTCAGGCCAGTCTCTTGGTCGACCATGACACCCCACGCCAACTGCTACGTCTCACGCGAATGCCGGGGCAGTCTCTTGGTCGACCATGACACCCCACGCCAACTGCTACGCCCTATATGTTTCCAGTCAGCAGTTTCACGCCATCATTGCCTACTGGCTACCGGCTAGTGTACTCTGCAAACACCGAACTACAATCCGCCACGTGAGGCAGATACCTGCCACGCAAAAGCAACACAAAACACAACGCAAGTTCTCAGCTTAAGCGGCCCATTCATTCATAGCACACGTCTCATGCAACAACGCCCCCCCCTAACGCACTGGCTAGACAGGTCGACACGCATCACGTTGCACACGAATATCTTGCAGCCCTTGTTGCGACGATTTGCACTCTGCAGCCACTCAGTCAGCAGTTTCACGCCATCATTGCCTACTGGCTACCGGCTAGTGTACTCAGCAAACAACGAACTACAATCCGCCACGTGAGGCAGATACCTGCCACGCAAAAGCAACACAAAACATAACGCAAGTTCTCAGCTTAAGCGGCGCATTCGTTTATAGCACAAGGCTCATGCAACAACGCCCCCCCCCTAACTCACTAGCTAGACAGGTCGACACGCATCACGTTGAACACGAATATCTTGCAGCCCTTGTTGCGACGATTTGCACTCTGCAGCCACTCTCCCGTTTCTCTAATGGCCCACCTCTACAGCGTATCCCCGGCGCTGTGTGCTCACTCCGTAGACCTCAAACTACTCCTTGCAATTACGAAAGCCACAAACAAAACAGCCACAATTTGGGGTGCCGCTGCTGCCCACCCGACTCAAGAACCTTTACCTGCACAAGCATCCACCAGCTGATCAGCTGGTACAGTTGCGCTGCGTAGGAGCTGACAACATTGCTGTCCGTAGGGTTCACACGTAGCCATTCGAGGTAACGCGCAGTCCATCCATATGATTCTTCGCAGCGACTGCACCTACAACGTTGCCCGCAACGCACTTTCTAGATCCTCGAACCGATTCAAAACGGCGACATCCGGCGATCCGCATATGTAGCGAAGCCCACACCGCTACCGAACACGAAGTTCTTCTGAACGCACGCCTTCAGTACTTCGCTCTGCTTGCCAGGCTCACTCACGCGCCCACCTGGTCAGACTCGTTGTCGAGCATGGCAACCCAAGAGACTCGTCACAGCTTCTTTTTCGCGCCTGCAGGCAACCCTAGCCTGGTAGCCAACGGTGTACGTCCACCCGTAGCTGCTGTTGCACACAAAATCTTAAAACATCCAATCGACATCCCCAGCGTACAACAAAATGTTTGACTTTGCCAGCACTCCGCCAAACTCACAAGCCACCTGTATAACGGCGACCCAAACACAGACACATTAGAAGCGCACAGGCACACCAGT